CTCTTGCTCATATTGATTCATGAAAAACTTATTATTATTATTATTAAATTGAAAAGATAAATAAAATAAAAATAAATTTTAAACCTAGGACAAAATGGAGTGTCTACAGTTGCCCTTCGTTATGCATTTTCTATGAAACAGGAATTATGCAAAGATATAAATATCCATTACGTCCGGGTGTAGCTTAACAACAATTACAAAATTTCAAAACTCCAAAGATTCACAATTTGAAATATTCAAAAACTTTGTAATTCGTCAATTAGTAATGCAAGTTGCAGCTCAAAGATTCACAATTTGAGTTCAAAAAATCACTATTTCAAAAATCAAAGGTTTGCAATTCAAAGATTCACAAGACTTTTAGATTCGCAAGATTTCATATTCATAAGATTTTTTAGGTTCGCAACACACAAAGATTCACAAAATTCAGATTCACAAGAATTTTAAGATTTGTAGACACAAAGATTCACAAAATTTTATATTTGCAAGAACTCAGATTCATATGATTTTAAGATTCACAAGATTTTTCAAATTCGCAAGAGTTTAAGGTTTGCAAGCTTTTAGATTCGCGAGAATTTAAGGTTCGCAAGGATTTAAGGTTATCAAAGTTTCAATTTTGCAAGAATTCAGACTCCCATTTGAAAGATTCACATCCAAAATTTTAATTTAGGGATTCATATCACAATTGCAAGGCTCACATCCAACATTTAAAGATTTACACTTTAAAATTCTAGAGATTCACACCAAAAAGTTAAAGATTTTTATCTGAAAAACTTTAGGATTCACTTCTAAAATATCAAAGTTTCTCATTCGAATTCAAAGATTCACATTGATTCTTCAAAGATTCGGATTTCAAAAAACTTTTGGAGATTCACATAAAATTCTCAATATTCCTATTTAAAAGTCAAAGATAAAGATTCTCATTCAAAAGATTCTCATTTAAAACTCAAAGACAAAGATTTCTCATTTAAAATTTCTTAAAGATTCTTATTTAAACTTAAAGACAAAAATTTCTATCATTTTTTAACATTAAAAATGCTCCTTTAAAAGGCTCCACAACTTTAGAATTCTAAATGTTTTCCTCATAAAACATTTTTCATTCAAGGATTCCCAACCTTATCTTAAAAGCTTTCCTCAAAAAGTTCAAAATTTTTTGTCATGAAAAATTCTCAATTTTTCATCAAAGTCAAATTTTGTATGTAATGAATGTCATGATATGATGCAAATACTTTCTTAATAATGCAAATGCAACAATCTAGATACTCATAATAATGCAGATGCCATACTTTAAACCATGATTCAAATGTTCACTGCATGATGCAAGTGCATAGCCAAACCAAAGCTTTTAAATATTCATCCAAATTTATATACATGATTGTTCAAACTACAATGCAAACGTAAATGCATGTATAATGCAAATGTCATAACATGAAATTCTGAATTAATTTTGGTAATAGGTTCTTAATGACTCCACCATCTCACAATTTTTCGTTTTTAGTTCTCAGCCACTAACAAATTCAGAACAAATTTTGTCCACTAATCCCCCATTAATTTTCATAATTTATCATAGCTTATAGGTTATGGTCAACCAACTCCAATCACCATATTCATCAGCTTGGTCACCCATGTGTCCTTTCAAATCATTCTTTTCAAGCTTTTTCCATATTTCTTTTTGTTTACCCCTATCATCCTCGATTTCTTTTTAAAAGAATGTAGGAATCTTTTATGAACATATCATTCATTAATTATCATTTCAAATCATGACAAAATATAATGGCAATTCATTACATCTTATCCAATTTTATTGATGGGGATGAAAAAATAAGAAAGTACAAGGTGAATTGGAAAAAAGGTAGTCAATACAAAAAAGAGTCTGGTACAAAAATAAATAGGCAAACGAACAAATTCAAAGCATATCACTAGGGATGCAATTGTCCAAACAATGAATATTTAGACAATTCTTAACATTAATCTAAAATTCTTTTTCAAAAACTTATTCCATTGACTTTCAAAATAATTTTAGAGCTCATCAAACTATGCCCCAGCTTTAGAGAATCTTTAGATGTCATTTTCCATGTGTTGAACTATTTATCCAACTCTCAGCTTAGACTTTTTTTTTACCCAAATTGCCTTTTTGGTTTCAATTTGAGTCTTTCTTTCTTTTCCTTTTCTTCATTTTTTTCACATTTTTCATTTTTCATTTTTTCACTTTTTTCACTTTTTCATTTTTTTTTCATTTTTTCATTTTTCATTTTTTCTTCATCCATTATTGATATCTCCCACATATCAATCTTTAAAATACAAGAACATAACACGATTCCATTACTTCATCACAAGCATGCCTTAGCCAAACATATGATCATTCAATTCGAGTATTCACATTTGAACAAAATAGATTTTTAAGAATTGTAATATAGGCTATAATAAATAATCATAAAAGAAATGGATAAAATTGGCTCAAAATATATGTTTAAAAAGTTCAAACCAAAAGATCATTTCTTATAATGTGATGGCCAAACTTGGCCACAAAATTCCAAGCTCGAGAAGGTCAAATTATGAAAATTACCTCTATAACGGGTATATTTGGTAATTTTACCCTTTTCGGGACATTATGAAAATTTTAGTGTTTTTGAAAAAATCTTAAATTTAATTTAAACCATGTTGATTTCAATTAGATTGTT